CGGGCCGGCGAGGCCGCCGCTCGCGCAGCCGGCCAGGCCCTCGCCCTGCGCTGCGCGCCCGAGGCTGCGTTTCCGGGTAGAGCGATGAACCTGTGCGGAGTTCGGGCGGGGGAAGCCTTCGTGCGTTTCTCTTTATTCAGTTCAAGAGGAAGGTGTGGGTTCGTGGAGGGAAGGCGGAGGGCGCGTGAGGGCATCGGGTCTGGAAAACGCAGCCGCGGCCCCCCCAGGAAGTTCAGGGAGAGTGACGGGTTTGCGCTTCTTTCAACAGCCAAGCCGCAATGAAGAGCTTCTTACAGTGAGAGGAAAGTAGGTCGCGCCCACTGAAAATGCCTTTAAGGGACAAATACTGTCAGACTGACCACCATCATCACGGATGCTGTGAACCAGGTATACCCCTTTCTTCTCCAGTTACTTCGCCCTTCGTCCGAGCCACTCGGCCTTCTGTTTCCTTCTAGTTCTTTTTTTTCTTTTTTTTTGCCTCCTGCCTGAGAAGTCATTCTTAAGTAAGCAAGCTATAATTTTCCCCAGCATAAAACCAGTTATGAAGCTAAAAGCTTGTACAAACAAGAGGTCTCCCCTGCTTCATCCCTTAAAAAAAGTACTGCAAGTGTCACTTGAAATCTTTTCCACAAGATCGATCGCTCAGCCCCTTTTCCTTCTCTTTCAAGGCAGCCCGCGGTTAGTAGTGTACCCCATGCTCTGTGAATGTTTAAAACTGAAGAGAAAGGAAAAAACAGGTAGTGGAATACTAGCATTTATCTTCATGAAAGTTATTAAAAATTTCCTGTGCATATTTGTCAGAGAATAGTGCTTAAGGCCTAAAAATGAGTTTAATTTGGGCTAAAAAAAGTTCGTTAAAACTCAACTTGTTGGGAGAATCAGGTTTTGCTAAGTGCAACCTTTAAAAAAATTTTCTTGGACAGAACATATTGTATTGCAGAATAAAAAATCTGATTATTTAGACAGAATACATAAATATTTTTAGGATAGTTATTCAGTGGAACTTTTTTATGAAATGAAAAAGTTGCTTTTTGGAGTCTCATGCAGAATATTAGAAAACTTTAATATGATAAACGTGATATGTAAACGATAGTTTTTCTACTTATTAGAAGTTTGATGTACTTTGTCACATTTAGAAGTACAACTTAAAAGGGAATCTTTGAATACTTACTGTCACGAAACCAAATAAAAGCTTTTCTAGTCTAGTTCAAAGGCAGGTGTTTATCATTATTATTATTATTATTATTTTTTGAGGACTATCAGCCCTGAGCTAACATCTGCCAATCCTCCTCTTTTTGCTGAGGGAGACTGGCCCTGGGCTAACATCCGTGCCCATCTTCCTCCACTTTATATGGGACACTGCCACAGCATGTCTTGACAAGCGGTGCGTCGGTGCGCGCCCGGGATCCGAACCGGCGAACCCTGGGCCACTGCAGCAGAGTGCGCGCACTTAACCACTTGTGCCACCAGAGCGGCCCCCTATCATTATTTTTGACCTAAAAGTTATTAGGACTTTTTATACTTTTGCTTGGTTTTTGTTGGAGTATTTTAAGGGACACTACTGTATTTGGTTTTATAACAGTAGAATTCATTTCAAGTAGAGTACTTTTGGATTAATGGGAAATAATGGCAGTGGTAAAGGGGGTGAACTTCCATTTTCAGAAGACTTTGGTATACATGAGAATAAAATTTGTACTATGACCCTATCCCTACTAATTTGCTGAAAATGAGTGATAACTCACCTCTGCTAATAAAATGGGCAGTCCCAGAATGGGATCCAGTTTCCCTTCAACTTCTCCCTGACCTATCTAACTTTGAGCACCCTTTCATAGTTCTTGTGTATTTGAAGTGAAGATATATCACTTACGTTTTACCACATGTTGAATGGAATTTGCTAGTTTCGAAGTAGAAGGCTGTGAATGCCTTTTATACTTATTTTCCACCGACCTTTCATTCCAGTTTTTTTTTTTCTGAGAACACTTCAAGTCATTTAAGTTGTATTAGTTAATGAAATCGTCTTATTAAAACTTCTTACTTAGGAAGAAGTTTGTTCATTTGTTTCTTTATTTCTTTGACAAATTGTTATGAGCACCTGTTAGATGCTAGGCACTGTCCGAGGCAATGGGGATATAAGTGGTGAACAAAACAGATCAGGTCATCCCCTCATAGAACTTTTGAGTGGAAACAGAGAGACATACACAAGTAAACAAATAAACAAGATAATTTGTGACCATACCCTATTTAGTATATGCTGGTAATTAAGTTTTCTAGAGACTTTAACGTTTTTTTAAAGAGGCTTTCCAGAGTTGAACTTTTTAATATGTAGTACAACTTTTTTGCTTCTTTTTTCTTCCTCATTAACAAGAAATCAGATAAGTTGCATTAATTTAAAAATTTCAACTTTCTTTTAACCCGAAACTTTTTCCATGCAGTTTATTTTTCAGACTGTCAGTTCAGAAGTAGTTGGTGTTTCTTTGCTTTCTTACCTAGAATTAAACACTTTCTCAGGATTTAGTTCAGTGGAAAGCTAGAAGTTTGTTAACACATTGGGTAGTTAATTGTCATTATTTCAGCGGAAGGTATGTGCTGAGTGGGAGGAGGTTATGATAGTTTTTAAAAGAGGATGCCCTCAGTTGGAGGGAAGAAGATGACATGATGTTGGAGAAATTCGTTTAATGGGTTCTCCTGAGAGGTCTGTCTTGTTTGGATTATGAACAGTGGGTGAGTTCCTGAATGAGAGCAGTCTGTTCTGAGGAGGCCTTGATAGGATGGGTCAATTTGTAGTGAAACGTGGTATTACAAGCCTGTCAGTGTATGTAAAGTATTTTCTTAGCTATGTTTTAAGAATGTTTTTTATTACAGAATTTTCAAACATTCAAAAGTAAAGAGAAGGGTATAAGGAGCCTGTTGTAACCATCACACAGCTCCATCGGTTAGCAATACTTGGACAATCTCTTCATCTCTATTCTCCCCTCTCCACAATTCCCTTCTCCACCCTCCAACTGCTCCCCCACCCTCTATTATTTGTAAGCAAATCCCAGACATCATTAAGTAGAAGGATCTTTTAAGGGTCTGGTTTTACTCTAGGAGAGACTCTTCCAAAAGTCAATATTTTTTTCTGGGAAGTATATTCTTGGAAGGATGTAAAGAAAGATGTTAACTTCTGAAGGTTTGGGTGTTTTGGTTGGAGGGAGATGCTGTGTTTTTCCTAAATGATCATGTAATCTGATCTTGGGAGGGATGATAGGATATGTAAGAGGAAATTTTATAAAATATTAACATTTAAAGTTTTTTAGGGTTAAGAGTATGTTTTCAAATGAAGAAAGAATTACTTTCTTACAATGGGAACTACACAGATGTGTATACTAAATGGATATGTCCAGGCATAACTAAGCTTACCCTGGGGTTATTTTGAATGGTGTCTCAGGATGTATAGGTGTTCTGGTGGTAGCAATGCTCTGAAGGTGATGGGTTACAAAATTTTGCTCTAGCTTTAAAATCAGATGTTGTCACGTGGAAGTGGAAGTTGTTGTATTATAGAAAGTTTTCTGGAGCATGTACCTAGATGAGGAAAGGGGGCTGTAAGGAGGGATTTCCATTTTTCCCATATCCCTCCCTTATTCATTACTGTTTTTTAATTCTCTTTCTAGAATTCTTGCCACTTACAGAGCCAGACCTTGAAGCTTTTAGTTCTTTACAGTTGTACAATTTCCACCCTCTCTTTTGTAGTTATTATTTTTTATAAACAGTTATCAGTTGTTATAATGTACAGATACTGAAAAGAGAGCCATCTAATCCAAATAAATAGTATCATCAGTCTAGTTACAAACTTCTACTGTTGTTTCTCTAAGGGGTTGAATTCTACTTCTCTTAGATTTTGGAAAAGATTTCTCAGTTTTTGGTGTCAGGAAAGCAGTTGATTGGTACATGATGATGGTGATGATGCAATTGATTTGTACATGATGATGATGGTGGTGGTGGTGGTAATGATAGGACATTTATTGAGCACTTACTATATTCCAGGCTCTGTTTTAACCAGTTTACCTACATTAGCTAATTTAATCCTCACACAACCTTATGATTTAGATACGTTTATTATCTAATCATAGCCCGGGTCTGGAGTCTTACGTTCTTAATCGCTGAGGTTAGTGCCAATGTTAGATGTTCCCAGCATAATTTGTATTTGTGTGTATGTTCTTAATTCATTTAAAATACCCCTAAAGTGTCTCTTAAAATTGGGAAAATCTTGCTTAATGAAATGACATAGTCCTTAGACATAGTTCCTCCCATATGTGTACACTGAGCACAAGAATTGAAGCCTAAAAGAGAATCTAAGGCTGTGTCTATATACATAGCACAGCAGGCTTTAGCCCTCTTATCAGAAAGCTAAAATGCTGCCCAAGCCTGGGTCCTGAAGCAGTGGCAGCACACATTATGAAGTAACCCTCCCTAACTCCCCACACTGAGCAGATGATCCTGGGTTAAGATGGTAATAGTTGAGTAGAACATTATAGCATATTAAAAAAAGAGGTGGCTAAAGTGGCTGGTTTTTCTACACCACAGCTATCTCTCTCTATTTGATATTTGATGGAAAACTCAGTTTTCCTTTTCAGTACCACAGTCTAATTTATTATATATTTACGCTGCTAATTTGAGAATACTGGAAAGCAGGAATGAGATAGACGTCTGTATATGCAAATGAAAATTTTTATTTTTAAAATGGAAATATTATTTTTACTTATTATAAAAATGATTTTTCTAAAATGCACACTTCTAAAAGCCCAGGCTCTGAAGCACTAGTGAAGTGTGAGGCAGAAAGTGAAAATCACTCCTGGAAACCCACCCTGACAGAACCTTTGTTAAGTTTTGTTGGTATCTCACCAGACTTTCTGTGTTTATATTAGCCTTTATGCATGCACACATATATGTTAAATTTATTTCCTTATGTATCTATTGAAATATAAATATAAATGAGATCATAATCTATAACCTGTTTTTGTTGCTTAACAATCTATTATTGACATTCTTTGTTGTGAATACATGTAGATCCAGCTCATGCTTTCTGACAGCCCTGAGAGTTTCCGTTGTATGGATATTTCATAGTTTATTTAGTCTGGTTCCTTTTGAGAGACTTTTAAGTTGTTTAAAATTTTTCTCAATTATTTACCATGCTGCACAGTGCTGCAGTGAACATTCTTGTCCATCTATCATTGTGCACCTGACCAGTTCTTTCCTTAGGCAGCGGTTTTTGAGTTTTGCTCTCATAATTGCCCAGAGAGCTGTGCGAGATTGTCCAGAGGGTTTTGGAATGGTTTATGAGGTGTGGCTAGGCCATCACTGCCCTAGAAGTTTGGTTAGATATAGTAGTTCCTCTTCAAGGGGAATAAAAAGGCAAATATGACGAATATGTACAAAATAATACGAAAATAGTAAGATCTTTGCATTTGAACCGTATATCTAGCCTTAAGTAGCCTTGAATTGAGAATAATTTTAGTTAATTTTTTTTTCCCATTTTTTCATTCTGCCTTACAAAGATGATGGTGAAATACATACAAACAAGTGTGATTGTCATTAATGTGATTGTAGCAAACCATTGTTTTACTTCAATAGTAAATGATTTAAATAACCCTTTTTTTGTGGGGATTGGGGTGGGTGTTTGTCTTCCATGTAGTTTATATCCTGGAACCTGGAGATGCTCCTTTGTTACAGCAACCACTACAGACATCCAAATCTGGTATTCAACAAATAATTGAGTGCTTTCGATCAGGTATGAATGTTTTAGGACGTATTTTTCAATTTTCACATAGTAGTTAAAAACTACCTAGAAATCCTTAGAAATAATTTTTTAAAAATATTAAAATGTGTACGTTCGTTTTCTTTATAGAATACTTTCAATTGTCGTATTTTTTAAAAGTGGATGAGTAAATATTGACTTTATAGAAATTTCTTTTTCAATACTATATATTGTATATTAATTTTGAAGTTAACTTATTTAGTATGGTTTAAAGAAATATATTGTGGTATGTTTTTGGTAAAGTGCCTCTTCCTCTTAAAAGTTCATTGTTATTTTTTGGCGTGTTGCTTATAAACTCTCAAAGGGCAGTAGTAAATTATACTGGGTCTTTATAAGCTTTGGCAGAGTAGATTATTTACTCAGAATGTCTGAGATGTCACTTGTTGTACATTAATTACTTTATCAACTCTGTTTATGTGACTCACCTTCTCCTGCCTAACCCTGGAGTTTCAATATCTTTAATAGAGCACAAGATAGAAAAAAGTTATTCCAGCCCTGAAGTGTTTAGATACATTTGTTTAGCTTTTCTTTCCATTAGATTATTATAATAATTGGATATATAATAAGTATATTTTGTGCAGTTGCAATCCAGTACTTTAAGATAGGTGTTGATGACTACTTATAAATGATTGAGAACTGTTAGAACTCCTGTGTTGTCAGTAAGATCTTAGGTTGCTGTCATTCTTATGATCCACTTGTCTACCTCTTGTAGCTTTGACTTCTCTGACATTGCAGACTATTGAGTGAAGTATGAACAAGCAGACACACTTGACTGGTGGACACCTAACTGATGGACACTTAAAAGCTTAGAATATCTTTTGTTATTATTTTAAAGCTTACTATCTTAATGAAAAATTTTTGAGATTCAAAGGAAAAGATAATTTATATGCAAGCACTTGTTTAGTATTGTTGAGATATTTTTTGAGGTGCTTGTTTCTAAAACATCATGAAGTGGGGGCTGGCCCTGTGGTGTAGCAGTTAAGTGCGCGTGCTCCACTGCTGGCGGCCTGGATTTGGATCCCGGGCGCGTGCCGATGCACTGCTTGTCAGGCCATGCTGCGGTGGCATCCCACATAAAGTGGAGGAAGATGGGCATGGATGTTAGCTCAGGGCCAGTCTTCCTCAGCAAAAAGGGGAAGATCAGCATGGATGTTAGCTCAGGGCTGATCTTCCTCACAAAAAACAAAAACAAAAAAACAACACATCATGAAGGGAAAGAGCATATATTTGCTTTATTTTAGGATTCTGAGAAATAGATTGTTCTTTAATCTAAAATAAAAAGCTTTTTATTTCTGACTCCCTAAGATCTGTTTCTTAGATTTTTCATCTATAGTCCTCATGGCATTGCTTTTATGTAGTGTATTTAATTTACTCAGTACTGAGTGTATACCATATGCCTAAGCTCATGTTGGATGGTGGTATAAACTATTTTAGGGTGTTTTGTTGTTGTTTTTTACTTGATAATTGCCCTTGGCTAACAGAAGTAACTGATAGGTCAAGTTCTCCTATGGTAGATACAATTAAAATTTTACTAATTAGGGGTAGTATTTAAATATGTTTTTGGCATAACAGAAAATGGTTAGTTTTTGTTCGTAGTAAGAGTTTCTGTTACCTACTTTTAGTATAGAGATAAAATTTTTTTTTGTTCTTTCTCATATCATGGAAATGAAGGTAATAGCTTTTCACATTTAGTAATATTCCCTGCTGTTGGTTTCTTTTTTAAAATTCATAATTTGGAATTGATAAGGTTATTTTATACTGCTTCAGTTTATTATAGTATTATTTGATTAAGAAGTTAGAATTGGTTCATTCATAAATGCTTTGTCTTGTAAAAAAAAAATACTTTCCAACAAGACACTGTACCCAAAAATCTATATATTTTTCAACTTTGGAAGGTGAATTTTTAAAAGTGAAATTATTTGCTTCCTTATGGCGCTGTGGTCATACCTGTTTTTTGTGCTTTCCATTTCTTTCCTATCTAAGCTAAAGAATGGGGACTGTGAAACAGGTAATATGTTCTTTTTAAAATGTCCCCAGCAAATTTGCCTTATGACTTATTTTTTTAGGCAAATTCTGAAGATGTTAAAATTTTAATTCTCTAAGTATCCAATAACTTAAATTAGAGATGATTTAGAAATATGCTGAGTGGTACAAAGAAACTAATTTTAGATTAAAAAAGGTTTTGTTTTACTTAATTAATGTGTCTCATAACTAAGCAATTTTAATTTCCTCAAGATAGTAATCTTTTACATATCTGGATAATCTAAAGTATATGAAGGTAGCTCTTCTCTAGCACTGAGGTATTCAAGCCATGACTGACTGAAACCTCGGAATGATGGGGTTGGAAGTTTGGGCCACATGACTTAGGGATTAAGATCCCTTCTCACCTTGAGATTCTTGTAAGTTCCTCCCAGTCCCACTCTACTCCCAAACACATCTTCAATGACTCTTCTCTTTCTCGGCTCTTTCCATTACAGCTGGGTCACACACACTGCATTTAAAGAACTATCCTGGTAATGATATATATCTGACAGATATTTGAAGGTTGACCTCTGGAGTCCATGCTTTTGCTCTTGTTAACCTACAGAGGCTAAGTCAGGTTGGGCAGTAATAATGTGTTAGGATATCTACCTTTATCTTCACGCTCAGGTAGTGGTCATCATTTACTGTATCATCTCTATTTAAGTGACTCACTTTCTCCTGCCTACACTGGGCTGTCTATGACCTGGTATCAATTCCTATCCAAGCTAGAAGTTCATAAAAGGCTGAGGAAGAAGTTGACTCATTATTTAGGTCCACCAGTCCAATGTGTGCTGTACTGAGTCTTGACCAGTTTTGACCCATTCTCTTTGCCTCACACTTCAGCTTTTGCTTTGTACTGTTTTCCTAGCTTTAAATTACACATCCTTTCTGAGCTCTGATATCTCTTTATTTCCGTCTGCTTATCTTGTAAATTAATTTGAATAGATTTTTCTTTTTGGAATAAGTACCTGTGGTTTAAAAAAAATAATAAAGAAGTACAAAAGGATATACAAAACTACAAAAATAAGTCTCTTTGCTTAGGCAACCACTGCTACGTGGTTTGTGTCTTCTTCCAGAGATCTTATATACATATACAAGCATATAACCCTCATTTTCTTCCCAATACAAATGGTAGCCGACTCTGCACACTGTTCTGTATCATTGCTTTATTAACAGTACATTCCACTGTTGTTTGACATTTTGTCCATAGATAGATGCCTCATTTTTTTAGAAGGCTGCCTGTTTTGCCCCGACCTACAGATTTTCTGCTCTGAAATCCCTACTGATTGGGTGACTTGAGACATGCTGTTTGCTCTGAATCCCTGGCTTCAGATACTACCTTGACTGCGTCCTGCCCTTTGCTGGAGCTTTGCCTTGGCTGTGTTAGTCCTTCTAGTCACATCTGTGACTTGGTGTCTTCAAATTTCCCTCCTTTCTATTAAAACTTTTATTTTAGCTTCCTTCCTTCCTGACCTCTCTCCCCAAACTGAAACAAAAATTTAAAGAACAAAAAAAGGTGTGCTTCCATGAGACATTCTTTCTTGAGCTTAATTGAGCTTAATATTCTTTCTTACTCTCTTAGTCTTCTGGTAGAGGCAAAGGAGCTGTGGAATGCCCAAAGGTTGAAAACAGAAAAGTAGGGGGAAAAGAGAAGGATAATTGTTTGTCCACTATTCAAAACTGGTCTTTAAAATGAAGTTGACATCTTTTTTTGAGTTCTTGAAATATATGATATTGTAAAAAGAGATAATATATAATATTCTAGAAAAAAGAATCTACCTGTAGAATACATTGCTACTGTGTGCAGGAAACAGCATCTTTTTGGAATCTTAGGGAGGAATAAATTGTAGTGAAAAATGAGAATTAGTTTTGTGTGATGTTTGCTATTGTCATTATTTTCCTAAATTTAGGTTTAGTCATTTAACTTCATAGAAGTTGTTTTTTCTTTCTTTTTTTACTGCTTAAAGGAACATTAATTGCAATTAGGGTAAGCTGTGACTGGATGGTGATGTCTCAGTCCTGACTCTGTAAGCAAAAGCTTAGGATGGAAGTATGATTTGTCAAGAGACTCATAAGAGAGTGCCATATTGTATGATGGATTTTGTTTGTTTGTTACATAGCAGTTGTAGGAAATTTAAAATCAGACGATGTTTTTTGGATGAATAAGAAAAATGTAGATTTATTTGTCTTATTTGTTGTTCTTATATTCATCTTCAAAGCATGTCATCTAGGTCTATGTTCCTAGGAGAGCAGCCGTTTATATTAGTCTGGGAATTTCTCAAGAGCACAGGTCATATGCTTCACTTTCATGTCTCCAGGGAATAACATTATGCCTGGTATTTAATAGGTGTTCAGTAAATGTTTTTTAGACTAAACTAAAAGATTCACCAAGTAGGCACTAAAATAATTTTATTCTACTTATAAATTTATTATAGTATTTGGCAGTGTTCCATAATTAACCTAGTAATTTTCTTTTACTAACCTTTGTGGGTGGTGGTTTTAAGATAACAATTGCAATTTTCTTAAACTTTTCCTACTTTTTACCTTTAAGTACTTATTTTAAGGGGCGATCAGTTAGAAATTTCCTTTATCCTGGTCTTGGAACTCAGGAGGTTTGACAGGAGTTACAAATTTGCTTGCAGTGTTGGGCTGATACTATGGTTAAACAGTCATCCTCAAGAAGACTGAGCCCACATATGTCAACAATAGAGCAAGCAGTATACCATTTAAAAATCATTACTGCCACAACTTAAAGTGGTCATTGACCAACATATCAGTATAGAGAAAAAATGAAAGCTTATCTTTGTCTGTATAGCACAGAAGAGTTAGAATTAATATTGTGTCATGTAAAGTGACTGCCATCCAACCTAATGTAAAATTGAATACTCATTCCTTTTGAAAAAAATCTTTTAAATATTTTTATCAGTACATACAATGTATTTGGCATTAAGGAATAGCACAAGATAAACCCTTGATGAGATTTAACTGATTTTTATTGAGGACCTATTACATGTGAGGATCTGAAATACTAATTTCTAGAAATCAAAAGCCTTACCCTTTGGAGGGCTGGTTTTGAAAGATACTGGTTGATGATCCATGTAAGCAGTATGTAGTGACTTCTAAGATCATTTAAAAACCTAAGGCAAGAAAGAGAATTATTATTATTATTATTTTTTTTGGTGAGGAGATCAGCCCTGTGCTAACATCTGCCAATCCTCCTCTTTTTTTTGCTGAGGAAGACTGGCCCTGGGCTAACATCTGTGCCCATCTTCCTCCATCTTATAAGGGACGCCGCCGCAGCATGGCTTGCCAAGCAGTGCGTCGGTGCACGCCCGGGATCCGAACCGGCGAACCCTGGGCCGCCTCAGCGGAGTGCGTGCACTTAACCACTTGCGCCACTGGGCCGGCCCCAAGAGAATTATTAATATAGGAAAAGGAGTAATTAGGAGTTAGGCAGCATGGCTCTCTCTTTCTCAGGGTGGAGAGTTGTGTAAGAACTTTATGTTCCCGTCTAGATGACCATGTCTGTTGTTGTCTCAGGTGACAGAAAGTTTTAGCTATTGACAGAGGCTTGGTTTGTTGGCTGTGTCTAATTGTTAGTGAGCAAAGCAATCATAGCTGATTAGAATAAAGCCGTTATGTCCCCACTGGAAAAACAACGAACCTTAAATGGCAACTGAAACTCACTTCAGGCAAAAACTTTTACTGTCTGTATTTATGGAATGAGGAACATCTTATTTTTCTCATTTGTAACATGTGTAAGTAGAATTAGAAAATCTTTCAAGTCCCTTTTTTGACTTCCCAGTCAACTTTATGTAGACTAAAAAAAAAAAATCTTATTTATAGTGAAGATTTTCTTAAACAGAGAGCGAGCTCTCCAATATGTCATTTAACAAATGTCAGTCAGGCATGGTCCTGAGGGCTGAGAATATGGTGGTAAGAATTAAAGCTGTCTTCTCTGTCCTCTTAGAGCATTTGTGATTGATAATTAAGATTATTAGTCAAGGTTAGAGCCAAATACTTTTTTGGGGGAGGATGCTTATTGGGATAAATATATACTCTTTATTGAATATAACTAACTCTATAACTAGGACTGAATAAGAAATTGATATTGTTTTTATTTTTTTATGGTTGACTGAGAAAACCCAGTAAACAAAGTGATAGCTCTGATTTAGGAATGCAGTCTTACATTTTTACAAGTAACTTTTTTATTTATGTATAACCTCATGTTGTACTTTCTATTTAAATCTTCAGTTGGATTCTTAAGTTAAACCTAGTTCAGGTTATTTCTGTTTCCCTCTTCAATCCATTTTGACTATCTTTGAAGGCAGCTGTGAATCTGTAGTAAGGGTCTAGCAGGGCTTTTAATTTAGAATTAAAGTGTGCAAAAATTTCCTGTGTTTTCTTCCTACTAGTGCTACACTCAACTACATTTGAGAACTATATGTAGGTCAATCAGAGAGGTTTATTTAAAGTATTTTTATCATCAGTCTACCTCACAGTTTGTCAATCACTTATGAGAATTAACTGTGATTTAAATATATTAGCAGTCTATTGCCAATATATTTTGTAATGAGAAATGCACTAGGGAAATATGTGTGTGTATATAAGTAGGTATGTGAATTTACTTTTACATAAAGAATAATACCCAGGCTATCCTCTGAATCTTTTTAAATTTATGTTTTCTGCTTTTGTGGTAATGTGGTCTAGTGGCATAAACAATGATTTGGATTTGGGAAACGTTGGAAATTATTTCAATACATATATATTTTTCCCAGTAAAAACCCAGATGTATAATTTAATTTTTCTGGGATTTAGGTTTATATTTTCTTTCGTAATTCTCCAAGATAGGTTTGGTTTGGTTTGTTCGTTTTACAAGATGAATAAACCAAAGTGTAAAGATTATACAGCTCTTTAAGGTCGTATGGCTAGATGGTATCAGAATTGGAATCTCTAAAGACTTAGTAAAGTTCTGATCACCTGGTAATCTTTTTGCAGTAGAATTTTGAGGGCTGGCCTGTCTTCAAAATGATGATTAATACAGAAATTAAATGTAAACAGACTGACAAAAGATTGAATCAGAAATATTTAACTTTTATGGACCCAACAGTACATATTTTTTTAATGGTTAAAATGGTAAATTTTATTTTATGTATATTTTACTACAATAAAAATATAAAATAAAAATCAGTAAATGAATAGAAAGAAAAAATCACTGTGAGTTGATTATATTTATCTCATGCATTTCTTCTTTTAGTGAGTATCTGAGCATTTTAAAAGATTGTAGTTTTTGTTTATTTATTTTAATGACTGACAATCTTCATTTTGCTCTCACACTTGATGGTAGTTTAGCTGAATAGAAAATGTTTAGAGGATGATATTTTTCTTTGGCACTTCCCCTGTATTCAGCCTAATGACCAGTTCTTTGTGGGAAATTTTCTTTTTGGTAACTTTTACATTTTCTCTTTCACCTTCATCTTCTGCAGTTTTTTTGCAACGTTCATTAGTTTAAATTTAGCTTAATTTAGTGTGTGAACTCTACACTTTTTATTATACTACTAAGATTGTGTTTACTCTTTAGTAGTCTCAGAGCTTAATAGATAGTCAAATGCTTATTATTATTATTTTTTTTGTGAGGAAGATCAGCCCTGAGCTAACATCCGTGCTAATCCTCCTCTTTTTGCTGAGGAAGACTGGCTCTGAGCTAACATCTATTGCCAATCCTCCTCCTTTTTTCCCCCAAAGCCCCAGTAGATAGATGTATGTCATAGTTGCACATCCTTCTAGTTGCTGTATGTGGGACGTGGCCTCAGCATGGCTGGAGAAGCGGTGCGTTGGTGTGCGCCAGGGATCCGAACCCGGGCCGCCAGTATTGGAGCCCGCGCACTTAACCGCTAAGCCACGGGGCCGGCCCCTCAAATGCTTATTGAATGATGGAATACTTTGTGACTAGATAGTCTGAAAGGTATTTTTCAGGACACTTTTGTTTTTTCCTCTTTAAATCAATATTATTATCATTTTTTTTTAATTTGAGGAAACTAAAGCCTCATTAATTAGTAAAGCACTGCAGATCAGTTTTGTCAATTTACCAGTGGCAAAGACCTGTAGGAAGTAGTGGCAAAAGACCTTTCATTAGTGTTTTATTCCTGGTGGATGTTTTTCTTTTAAAGATAGATGCTTATTGCCATTTATTTTTTCTCTTCTTTTTGATCTTTTGTCAAAATGCTTAGATTCCCTAGATCAGTGGTATTTCTTCAACGAATATTTATTGAGCATTACTAGAGCTTAATTCTTTGTAGTTGTAAATAAGACAGGCTTGGTCTTGGCTGCTTTGGAGTTTATGATTTAGTGGAGGAGACAGGCTTTAAACTAGTAATTATATGAATATTTAATTAATTGCAATTGGGGTAAGATTTTGAGGGAGAAAGGCTTTGAATAAATATATAGTGGTATCAAGAGGCCTAAGCAAAATTCATATTATGGACAAGGATTCTCTGCTATCACACTAAATTGTGTTCTCTTTTGTACAAATTACTTCAGGTTCTGGCCCAACATCCCACGTTGGGCCAGAACCTGAACTAATTTGAGCTGAATTTAAAAACAAAAATCACAGACGATCCTGTGACACAATTTTGACCTGCTTTAAGGAATCAGGGCGAAATGTATTACAAAACTCTATGTTCACTTTCTAATGCAGAAGAGAGCTGGAAGAACCAGCCAGAAAGTTTGGCAGGGAGTGTGGGGCTGGGGGCACATTTAATTCTGATGTCCCACTCTAGATCTGTTGAATCAGAATCTCTAGGGGTGGGTCATGTACATCTTTATTCCCAGGTCCTTGTGATGATCAACCAGATGTTGGAACCACTTTGGGAGTGTCCCAAGACTCCCAATGGAGTGTCCCGTTCCACTGTCCCAAGAATTGTTAGGCTGTTTAATTAGAAAAAGAGCATCAATTTTAGCTGTTCCAGTATCCAAAATACTAGTAGGATTTTGCTTAGAACATAGTTTATTACTTAGTTCTGAATACACTGTGGTAGAAATTGGCAATACCTATATTTGTTTTTAGAATAAAACTGTGCTTTTGGATTATCAGCAGTGGTTGCCGAGTTTAAAAGTGCGTGTTAAAGTTACCTTTTGTGTTAAGTTTTCTTTTCTTTTTTCCCTCAGGAACTAAACAACTTAAGCATATTTTATTAAAAGACGTGGACACTATTTTCGAATGTAAATTATGCCGCAGTCTCTTCAGAGGATTACCAAATTTGATTACCCATAAAAAATTCTACTGCCCACCCAGTCTCCAAATGGATGACAGTAAGTTTTGTACATATATTCAGTTACACGTTTTACAGTTAAGTTTTCTTATACTATAGCTATACATTTGTGTTAAAATGGTATATATATTTACTTACAGGTAATTTAATGATGGAGTATAAAATTAAATACCTGACTCAATGTTGTATTCAGTTTCTTATATACATGCTTTCATATCAGTGCTTATCACTTAGATTTTCCTAAAGATATGTGAAGTTAGATTTATGAGTATATTTATTTATATTAAAATATTGGATATTGTTTTTGAATGTTTATGTGGATCAGATGGTTTATATTCAGGATTTTTGTAAGTAAAAATGTTAATACTTGAAGGGGGTATTGATATTTTTCCTCTTTATTTCTTTAACAACTTGTTACCAGATAGGACTGATCATTTACTTAGATTCCCCGTAAGGAAAGGAAAAGGTTGGAAATAGAGCAAAGAATGAGTAAATAAGTTGATTTCTTGGAAATGGTGGAGAGCATTAAAAATATTTATTAATCTTTTTAGTGTTTTCTGGGTCTCAATTTGAGGATCAGTTTTGTTCTCAGTGAAATTTATTTACATCAGTCATTTTATCAGAAATTAGATTGTGTTACAGGCTGACTTGAGATCCAAAATAGCTTTAAGTGATGAAGGCAGGTAGTAGGCTAGTAAAGTCTTTGTGGAACCAAACGTTGTCAGATTAAGTGCATTGTCCCTGTATGATTAAGTTAGCAGTATATGTAGTGGTACTATTTTCTTGCTTTAAAGAGCTAATGTATATTCCTTAAAATATTTTAATGAGTAATAGATTACTTTCCTTATTTCTTGTGCAGGGATTTAACTCTTCATGGACTTATACAGATATAGAACTTATTTTGTCAGTTTGATATTATATTTGCATTGTGGATTTTCTGCCTTTTTCAGCTTAACCTTTTTGGGATGGGAATGAAATACAAACTCCAAATATCAAAAGTACTGTTTTAATTATTAGCATGAGGCTGATTTAAAGTATATTATACGATGTAGATGAAATGAATGTTTCATATTTGTCTGGACACTTTTCCTATTACTGTTATATCTTATTATTCTTCTTTTTATCATTGAGATATAAATGAAAAGGCAGTCTATAGAGATCAGTTTCACATCTAACCTTTAAATTAAAGTATAATAGAAAATTAATTAATTTTCTGGTAGTTATTTGTTATTTTTTAGTGTGGAGTTGACTTATAGAGGGAATAGATAAATGGATTTGCTGGATTATTGTGTACTCTTTTTGACAATACTCCTAGAAATAGTTCTGTGAAAGTGTTTTCTTATAGACACCACTTTATCCATTTTAAAAAGGAAGATGAGTAGACGAGAAGAGCTATAATGAATCATTTCTTGATTTCTAAATAGATATCAGATTTGATGCTGTATTTGTAGCTAGATTTTAGAATTGTATGTGGAAACATAACCAGTGTTAGACAACTCTGTTACAATAGGAATATTTGGTTGCCTATAGAGAGTGTAATTATCGCACAAGTAAATAAAACTAGCTCTGTTTTTAGAATAAATCTATAGTTTTTAATAATTTGTTTTAATAGAATTGTGTCATGTTAAAAAGACGTGTAATAGGACTGAGTTTAGCAAATACTTCTGTACATCATGTCATTCATGTTTATAGATTTTCCTGCAAATCTTACTTTTTCATTTCTGTAAGATGTTCAAATGTTCCCATACAATTAGACTAGATTATTTATATGGATTAAGTTAATAGGAATGCTGTTATGTTTTCTAAAAAAAATTTTTTTATATATAGTAACATTCTTCATGATGATTTATCCATCTTGGGTTATGAGAACTTTGATTTGCCTTTGCTAGCCTAAAAATAAGAAATATTATTTTTATTGTTTAGGACATCTACGGACTTGTACTTATATATTTTATGTTAAGAGCACTTAGAAGTGGAAGTAGCTCTTCAGATTGCATCTATTCCTTATCATTTGCATACCATGATGAGATGTTAAATAAAGCAAATTTTAGTTTCATTAACCCTAGTTTTTAATCATCATAAAATACTGAAAAGTGGATAATGCTCTTATAAAAATAAAAACTAGTGATATAATAAATTTTAAGATAGAGGTTCATAATACATTTTAAAATATTAGGAAGGCTAGAGCAGGCTAATTATTTCAGATTAAAATGTTGTTTTTTCCTTAACAGACCTTCCTGATGTAAATGATAAACAAAGCCAAGCCATAAACGATCTCCTAGAAGCCATATATCCAAGTGTGGACAAGCGAGAATATATTATTAAGCTAGAACCCATAGAAACTAATCAAAATGCAGTGTTTCAATATATTTCAAGGACTGATAATCCTACTGAAGTCACAGAGTCAAGCAATACTCCTGAACAAACCGAAGTTCAAATACCGGAAACTAGCACTGAACAGTCTAAAACAGTACCAGTCACAGATACAGAGGTGGAAACTGTAGAGCCCCCTCCTGTTGAGATTATTGCAGATGAAGTTGCACCTACGTCTGCTGAACAACCTCAGGAATCACAAGCTGACTTGGAAACTTCTGACAATTCTGATTTTGGTCACCAGTTGATATGTTGTCTTTGTAGAAAAGAGTTCAATTCCAGACGAGGTGTTCGTCGTCACATTCGAAAAGTACACAAGAAAAAGATGGAAGAACTAAAAAAGTACATTGAAACACGAAAGAATCCAAACCAATCCTCTAAAGGACGCAGTAAGAATGTTCTAGTTCCTTTAAGTAGGAGTTGTCCAGTATGTTGTAAATCATTTGCAACAAAAGCGAATGTAAGGAGGCATTTTGATGAAGTTCATAGAGGACTAAGGAGGGATTCAATTACTCCTGATATAGCAACAAAGCCTGGGCAACCTTTGTTCCTGGATTCTGTTTCTCCTAAAAAATCTTTTAAGACTCGAAAACAAAAGTCGTCTTCAAAGGCTGAATACAATTTAACTGCATGCAAATGCCTCCTTTGCAAGAGGAAATATAGTTCACAAATAATGCTTAAAAGACATATGCAAATTGTCCACAAGATAACTCTTTCTGGAACAAACTCTAAAAGAGAGAAAGGCCCTAATAATACTGCCAGCAGTTCAGAAATAAAAGTTAAAGTTGAACCAGCAGATTCTGTAGAATCTTCACCCCCTTCCATTACCCATTCTCCACAGAATGAATTAAAGGGAACAAATCATTCAAATGAAAAAAAGAACACACCGGCAGCACAGAAAAATAAAGTTAAACAAGACTCTGAAAGCCCTAAATCAACTAGTCCGTCTGCTGCAGGTGGCCAGCAAAAAACCAGGAAACCAAAACTTTCAGCTGGCTTTGACTTTAAGCAACTTTACTGTAAACTTTGTAAACGTCAGTTTACTTCCAAACAGAACTTGACTAAACACATTGAGTTGCACACAGATGGGAATAACATTTATGTTAAATTCTACAAGTGTCCTCTTTGCACTTATGAAACTCGTCGGAAACGTGATGTGATACGACATATAACTGTGGTTCATAAAAAGTCATCCCGCTATCTTGGGAAAATAACAGCCAGTTTAGAGATCAGAGCTATAAAAAAGCCCATTGATTTTGTTCTAAATAAAGTGGCAAAAAGGGGCCCTTCAAGGGATGAAGCAAAACATAGTGATTCGAAACATGATGGCACTTCTAACTCTCCTAGTAAAAAGTATGAAGTAGCTGACGTTGGTATTGAAGTAAAAGTCACAAAAAACTTTTCTCTTCACAGATGCAATAAATGTGGAAAGGCATTTGCCAAAAAGACTTATCTTGAACATCATAAGAAAACTCATAAGGCAAATGCTTCCAATTCACCTGAAGGAAACAAAACCAAAGGCCGAAGTACAAGATCTAAGGCTCTTGTCTGGTGAGGAACAGTTAGAGTTTTGCTTTTTTCCCCCCCATCGAACTAAAAAAAATCATTTGACCATAATTTATAGCTGGTTCCATTTTAACACGTTTGCTTCCGTATATCTTATGTCAGTGGGAACTGCAAGAGTAATGTGCATATTGCATTTACCTCTTCAGTGACCTTTATTCCAGTGGCTTGGGAACAAAAGTTAACTTCAGAACTTATCTTCCACAGGACAATGCAATATAGTTATAGGTAGATGGCACAGGGTCAGTGCTTTCCTCTCAATGTTGTAAAATATATGCGTTTATATTGGCTTATGTTTACAATAGAAGTCTTCTGTTTAACTTTGCACAGGTTTAATTTGATTCAGTGACTTAGTCTACTAATTAATACATTGTAGGAAAGTTAAATATATTAGAATGAATTTGTGAAGGCAATAATTATAGGAAAAAAAGTCTTTTCGAGGAACTGTAATTATTGTAAAAATTAATCTGTGACAGCTAAATAAAGTGCTGTACTCAGAAAAAAACCTCCCCAAACAGAATTTAGAAATTAGCATTTATTATTTACTTTTAACATAGTGCTTCCAGGCAAGGGGTGAAACTTGATAAGAGTTTGAATTTTTTTTTTCCTTCTCCTTGGGAGTATGTGTTAGTTACTGTTTTTTAATCTATGGAAAAAGTGATTATTTAGGTCCCAGATCCTCTTATTTTTCCTTTTTTGTTTAAATAAACTTTTTGGTGATCGTTTCAACATAGTTAATATTATTAAGTAGGATTTTTTTTTTTTTTTTGTGGTTGTGCGTTGCAAGAAATGTAAAATCCCTATTGGGAAGAAAGAAAAAAAAATATTACTTTTTTAGAAGGTTTTGGAACAAATGTAGATTTTAAAAATGCAATATAAAATAAGGAGTAGCCTCCCTATACTTATTTTTGCAAGTCTCTATATATTTTTAAAGTTTACCTTCAGATCTGTGTCCCTTTATTAAGGCATTTAATATATTTAATTAGTATAAATTAGTTTTGGATTCAGGTTCTAAAGCAGTATACTTAGTTTGAGTGCTGAATAGGTTAAATGTTGTGGTTTGATCATCACACATTTTTTAATTTGTGTGGAAAACATGAGATGAAACCATCCTTTAGAAGTCATTTACTGTTGTATAATTTTAAAAACAAAGTTTTATTGGTAAACTCAAAAGTGTTCATTTATTCCCATTTCTCCTCAGATAACTTCAAGTGATGTACGAAAAGGTTTGGAGTTCATTTTTGTGGAAAGACTTTAAATTGGTGTTAGAACCACTAAACGTCTTCAGATGGTACTATGAGAAAAAAAAGAAAAACATTTTCATAAATATTCGACTGTAACTGCTGTTTTCTGACTAAAATAATAACCATCTAACCACTTGTTTCTAAGGCACTGCCTCTTTCAGCACTTTCAAGTAGCTGTGACATTACATATTGTCATCACAGTCTTATCAGCTAACCACCCTTGACTTTGTGCATTTGGTCTACAGTTTCTGCAAAAATGTTGCAAATTTTGTTTTCCAAACAATTTGTTGATGAAAGCGATCAACAACCTGAAGAAAATATCACCACTGGTGATTTTTAATTTGCAAAGACTTTATATCTTAGTGATTTTAGTTTTGTTCTGCTTGATTTGGCAAAATTTTCATCTGTATTGTACAGATATATGATTTTTCTAGTGAGTGTATGTTAGGACCAAAAGACAAACTAGTATCAGCACATTATAAATATTTAGCCTGCTAAATATTTGTAATTATTTTTACACCCATTTATTTCTAACTTGTTCTCTAGCACTTAAATGTTTGAAAGTTTCTTTCTAAAATATATGCTACAGGAAAGTTCCAGTTCATTTTCATCCATGGATCATTACATTTTTCATTTGTAAACATCTGAGGTTTTTATGAAAATTAAACATTCCCCTATTTTTCTTTAAATTTTATACAAAGCACTTTAACGATAGATGCAACTTAATTTTTCAATTTCTATTTTTTTTAAAAGACCACACATTTACTAATATTAATATGAAAGCAAGAAGTAGCTTACTGATATTTTATGGATGCAGACAATCCATGCACAACCACTTCTTATGATACTAGTTTATTTCTTTAAATATTATTAAAAAAGGAAGATGGGGGTATAAACCCTGATTTTTTTTTTCTCCCAAGCAAAATCTTAAATGACCACTTTTAGATAATATTTGATTCCTACTATAAAATTTGGAAAATAATGAATTATTGTCCATTTTTGTAATCAAGATTTTAGGAAAAACAAGTACATCTATCTTTATGAAATTTGGGGCAGGCTTTGTGTATCAATATTTTTTACTTTTTAGGGAATATTTTATTTTTTATTAATTTTTGTCAAATTATAATTTTAAAAGGTACAGCAGAGACTATACCATGTTTTTATATAGGTTCACACCTGTACTTAGGAGGGACCCTGTCCATCTATATAATTTTTGTATAAAACTTAAAATGTTGAAGATCCACAAGTCATAATAAAATGCTTCTATAGCTAGAAAAACATTTACCCTTCCCAGTGCTTTGCACTAAAATATACTGTGAAAGGAAACTAGAAAGACTGTAACTGTTGCTGGAAATGTTCTATATTGAATGTACATGCTCTTGTTGGAAAAATGTACTATATGTGATGGAAATAAACCAGACTCGAAGTTATTTCAGCTAAATGTGCTTCAACAAAGGTGCATTGGTTGAAACTTAAATGTTTTATTATCAAATTTAAATTTATTCAGTGACTATGAGCAGCTACACTTGAATTATATCCTGATAGTTTTATTTTTAAGAATTAGAGTAATAATTTCTCTTTAATTTAAAAACAGATTTACTTTTCCACATATGGAAAACTTGTACTTATAGGTCTAACTTTAATGATTAATAGCATAATATATTTAGGGAACTAAATATGTAGGTGATATTTCATTTATAAACCATCTTTATTAGTTGCACATTAAACCTGTATGTTTGACTTTTGCAAGGTGTTATCTTTTATGCATTTCTACACACAAGACATTTTCCAAAGATGTTTTCCAGACTTAAGTACCTATAACCAGTGAAAAGATACGAGGATTCGTAAAAAGCTTGGAGTAGCTCTTTGCTGCAGCTGCTCATCTGTATGTCAGCCTTTTTCTCTGTGCTTTACTTGTTGAATACCGTAGGAAAGAAAGAGAAATAGCTTGATGTTGGTGGAGGGGAGTGCAATTGCTGGAATTCCCTTACTCCAGTCACCTGTTTCCATAGGACCATTCACAGTTTGTCTCCTCCATAATAACTAGGGCCACAGAGCAGGAATTTAGAAGGAGAAATGCAGGGTTCCAAGGACCATCAAAAGGCTTCCTCTGGGTCATAGAGAAAAAAATAGCACTATATCAGGACTTGTGTAAATTAGAAAAGCTTAGGGAGATTAGGAATATTTTATCATAATAGCCAAATTAATGGATCATGGCAGACATAGGAGTTAGAGGCCAACTGGGACCAGTTTAGAAAGGTAGAATGAACAAGTAAGAAGTGTTTAGAAGTTCTTTGTTCTTCCTATTCTTTTCTGGTCTTCATTCCTACTTTTTAGTTTTATTTTGACTCTTGAGCTCTGTTGTCTCAGAGGCTCAGTCTTGTGGCTCTTGAGGAGAAGAAGCCTAGGAAATTTGTGCTAGAAGCTTTTCTGCATGTAGGCCATGTAAGCAAATATTTATAGCACTTTTTGTTGTTGTAGGGAGGAGGAATTAAGCAGATTAAGAACCGTTAGAAACTGCTTATTTTATATTAACACCTATCTCTGGCTATAAATTATATCCACTTTGACTGCTGTTTGATCAAGTAAGAGTTTTTCTGTAGAATTCAACTCATTTTCCTTCCTGAAGATACCTTCCACTCTTAGGTGTGGTAGAAGAGGAGAAACAATGACATGCATGGCTTGCACTTCAATGTCATAAGTTTGGATAGTGCAAGTGAGAGCTGGATGAGTTATGGCTGACTCTGGGCTGGTGTTCATTAGAACATGCAGATACACGTTGAGTGCACAATAACAATTTTTTTTGGTTCTTGTCTTTTTTCCTCTTTACTCCATACTTCAAAAAGAAAAATTTTGAAGAATGTATAAATTACTCTTCCTTAATTTTTAGCCTAGTTTTGTATATATGAGCCAAGTTTTCAGTTGACACAGCTTGCTTATGTTACTGAAAAGTACCTTCACATTTTTAGGAGTATGTGTTTGTTGTATTGCTGTATGGTCAACGGGCTCTTCTACTCAGTTTGTTTTAAAGAGCCTATGGATGCAGTAGCAGGGAGTTTTGTGGTTTTGCTATGGCTTAAGGCTGTGGGTATAGAAGGAGGATTTCCTGGTAGATGTTATGGCAAGTGCTATGGAGACAGGGAGGCACTAGAAGATATCATTTCCTGTTGTGAAGTTGCAAAAGATAAAAGATCTCTTCAAATAGCATGACCACTGAAAATGAGATAGAAATGCTTCTAAAACTTTAGAAATTAGGTTTCCAGGTTTCCTGCAGTGGCCTCTAGAAGTAGTCTAGATCATTAGGAGTTTTAAAAGTTACTTTTCTAATGGAATCCATAGATTACGAGGCTTATGATTTAGCCATGGCTCTCACGGTTGACTGAAACTGAGCTCTAAGGTATATGCAGCATGATGTTGGCTGTGCTGTTAGAGAAAATTCTTCTGTACTCTATGCTATTCTTTCCCTCTTCTCTGACTTGAAGAGCTAACAGAAACTTCAGAATTGAAAGGGAGTGAGGATCAACATCTTAAGAACAGCTATTAGTTATTTGGTTTCTAAGGCATTTGGCATATGATAGAACGCAGAATAAAACATGTTTCACTTAAACTCACCTACAGTTATTTTGGCTTTTCTAACTTTCCATATTCATTCCTCCTCTCTCTTATAATTTATTTCTGCACCCTTTTCCTCTGACTTCTGTTCTGAGCTTCTAGCTCTTATCTTTCCTTTTTTCTCTTCTGGTTAATTGATGGAGATCATTAGTACCAAGATAGCTAAAACGTTTTTTGAAACGGTAGGAAGGTGGAAAGTCAGCTCATTTCTTCCTGAAGCTTTATCACTCTACACTCAATTTGTCAGGTTTATTATTTATTTTCGAGCTTCTTCCTCTCTGTATATTCACCACAACCACATCACAAGCAGAGGGAAACTTAGTGAAGACCATAGGTGCATCTGGTTGGGAAAATGCCCAAAGTTGGAGGTTTTGCTGTTTGTGCCCACTCAGCAGAATTAATTTGCTTGATTGTGTATTTTTGAAATCAGGAACTATGTCTGTGTCTTGATAATTTTATTTAGTGCCTAGTATGTTTTCATGTATACCCAGGCACTTTAAATAAATATTTGATAATGATATTTAAGTAAGTAGTAGCCTTTTCCATCTCAAAATTGAGCTGTCGTACGCTTTGAGACTTTGGGTCTGAATTTCATAAACTTCTATTATGTCAATGTTGATAGGTTTCACTTATTTTAGAAAATGTCAGCAGTACTAAAATGAGAATTTATGATAATAAAGAGAATTCTTAGTATTAGCTAACAATAACATTCATGGTGTGCTTACTGTATGCCAAGCAATCTGCTAACCCTTTACGTGCATAATGCCCGTAATCGACCAACAACTGTTACTTCATTATCCTCATATTACAGAACAGAAGATTGAAGCTTAGAAAAGTTCAGTGATTTACTCAAGTTCACATAGCTAGTTAATTACAGAATTGAGACTTGACACTAGGTCTGACTACAAAACCTGTGCTCTTAATCAGTGCACCTTATATCTGCACATTTTACCGTTTACAAAGCACATTCATTATATTACTTTATTGGCAGCTTAGTGTAATGATCTAGAGCTAAATTATTTGATGAAATGTTTGGATCACAAAGTATTTCCTGTGTGACCTTGTGCAAGTTACTGAAACATTCTGTGCCCTAGTTACCTCACCTATAAAATGGGGATAATATTGCTTACGTCATAGGGTTGTTCAGAGGATAAAATGAAAAATACATGAAAAACAGAATAGTGCCTGCCATGTTACAATAAATGTTAGATATGATTACTATAAGTGATTTTCATAGCATATCCAAATGTGGATTTTTTTTTTATTACCTCTTAAAGTTTAGATGGAAATGTGTACATTAGAAGAACTTTATTGCTACACGTCAGATTTTTAACTGCTGCTTTTGTATTTAATTGGGACAATGAAGACAACCAACTATATTATTATTTGCTATCATTTCTTTTCTAATCAGATATTACTAGTTTATCATTCTTGCTCATAAATTTTTCATTTATTTTGAAAAAGGCATTATAGTTTTAAGAACATCTATTGTAAGTTAGGCTTTGTTTTTGTGGTTACTTCCCAGAATAACCTTTCTGTCTTAAAATTCTCATTAGTGTATCTGTCTTATCACATAAATATTTTATTTTTGGTCATGTGCATAATATTGACATGGAGCAAATATTAATTAACAGCTGAAATATTTCTGTGGAACAAAAGTAGATATGCAGTTCTATTTGAAAGAAAGCATTCATTTATGGGAAGAGTGGATTGTTCAGGAGAGCACGATTTGGGCTAAGTCAGGAATTTCTTTGGTGAATGTGTCATGAAGAGATAAGAAGAAATGACACTTCTCAAAAGTCTTGCCATTGGTAGTCATTAGTGGCAATACTCCAGATTTCAGCTGAGGCCCAAGTTCTGTTAATTTATCTGCTGAGAGGGTTTATCCACACACCGGCTATTCTTAATCTTGCTTTTTTAACAAGAAGGTGATGATTTTAGAAATTTTAGTGTTTAGGGACTGATAGAATTTGCAATACCAGAGAACCTTTGTCCCTAGGTTTGAATGAAGCTTCATATCCTGAACTTCAGATCAGTGCTGGGATTCCAACACCTGGGTTGGCTTCTTAATGATTCTGATACTCAAATATCAAATATCTGACTTGTGTCAGGTATCTGGAGCATATGCCTGACACACAAAACACTATAATATTTAAGCACTAGAACATGTGGTTGAAAAAATAGCCAAACCAAAATAAACAAAAAAAACCCCACTTTGAATGCTTAAGCAATAATAACGTGCAGCCTATCTGGGTGTTTTGCTCTATGTAATCTGGTAACACTTTCAGTACAAGAATGTGTCATGTTGTTATGTTCAGAGGAGAAATTATTACACCAAAATGAACCCTGAGTGCATAGAACTTATACTACAATTCAGGTTTTGAATATTGGTTTTTAATTCCTTTTATCTGTGTGATTATCCTGAAAATAAGTTTGCTTTGAAAAATGGAACTGTGACTTTTAGTCAGACTTTCTTTCTGAGCTGTGCAAAAGTACTTTTTTAAGAAGCTGAGACTCTTCTTGTGTAGATCAGTGCTTTGGTAGACCTGAACCCCAAAGTACCTACTAGTTGTGACTGTTAGCTTTTATTTTGGATGGAAAGAAAAAGCAAGGAATACTTTTATTCTAAGAAAAAATAGTGAAGCCCTAGGAACATTGTGTACACAAGTGATTAAATTATATAAAAATTTAGCTTTGAGAGAAAGGATTTTTATGTAGTGTCCTTGAATTCTTGACATACAAAAGTTGTTAGGGTTGTATTATATAAGCTTCTGTAGGAGAGTAGCCATGTCGTTTTCATGCCTTTTGATCATTAGTTATTGAGTTCCTTGGAATCCAACACGCTGGGCATTTGTAGATGTTTGAGATTTTCTGAGCTTCATTCTCCTTTCCTTTGAATAGGTCAGGCTTTGAGGAGATAAGAGATGCTAATGGGGCTGTCATGGAGATAGACAAGAACACAGTGAAATTTATGAATAATTTTCAATATTTATATCCTCAAGTTAAACTTTCCTTAAAACATTTTCATGATTTTCCAATTTGTCCTTTCTTTACCTGGCCATCTTGACTAGTCAGCTATTGTTTCTTGATTGTAAGAGAACAAAATCAGTTATTTGCCCTGAAATTTGGAATACAAACAGCTTTATACACACACAAGAGGAAGAAACTTTTAAAGGAGGTGGTTTTGTTTCCTGTAACTGCCCTGGATGTCTTTTTAATCTCTTAGGTGCACTGTTGTAATGATATGAATTCTTGATTTTTAAGGTTTAAGGTAGTTCCTTGAAGGCCATTCTTTCTAAAACAGTTAATTAGAGCTAAGTAACACAGTGTCTTCAAACCACAGATGCTACAAAATGGAAGTAAGACCCACAATACTTGGATTACCAGCCACCACCCAACTTGCCATCTAATTGCAGGTTGTGAGTGCATGTGCACCCATAGATAAAAACTGTGCCACGTTTTTTGTTTTTTTTTTTTTGGATGCAAGCACAGAGTTTTACTTGGTCTTTTGCTAGTAAGGAGAGGTTTATTATTTTTGTTTATTAGAAGGCTTTATGTGGGGAAGTAGGGAAAATAGAAGTGGCCAGGCATTTGTGGGAGTCTAGGGATAATTGTACAAACTGGCTTCACCATATAGATTTCAACTAGGTGTTACGGAAACTGGAAAAAAATCAGTGCAACTCTAGTGACTGGGGATTGCCCTCTTAGCAGCAGGAGTATTGCTTCTCTGCTGCTATTAGCCTTTCTCAGACTCTCTTCCTTTTTTTTTTTTTTTTTTAAATCTAATTACCTCATTCTGTGTCTGTTCAATATGGTTATAATTGCCTCATTACTTCTGCTACCTTTCTCTGTATCTTTCAGCTACTTTCCCTCTCCATATAGCTTGAGTTCAGACTTCCGTGAGAGAAAATTCGATTGATTCAGTTAGGTACAATCCCTGTCGGGCAAATCTCCCATGCCAGGGCTCTTCATAGGTTGCTGGCCATAGGTTGCTCTTCATAGATTGGCGACTCTTGGGACAGGTGCTCTCCATTGGTCCTGTCGTTGGTGATCATAGTAGCAGAGTCAGTGGCATAACACGTGGCCCTGGACCCAATTAAAGGAGTCGTTTTGTGGGAATCTTTAAAGAGGGGTCTGGATAGTCCTAGAATGTACTAATCTTTCCAGTATGCATGCTTTTTTTCATTTTTAAAAGTGATAGAATTGAAGGTAACCTGTGGGCTTGACTGTTATGTCAACGCAGAACCAACAATCCTTTTCATACTGAGAGAATGTGGGAAAGAGTTTTCTGATCAGCATCTGCAGTTCTTTTTCTGAACTGCCTGGTGCTGTTTCCATCTTTGGCTTTGCAGATTCATCATAGACAGCCTGAAGTTTTCACTCAGAAAGAGCCATTCCGTTTCCTGTAGCAGCATATTAGGCTGTTGTGTTAGTTGCTGCTATTTTCCAGGCACCCACTATCATGCTGCACAGTTTTGAGTTGGTGATATAGTGAATTCTTAAAGTATTGCTTCTGCTTTTCTGCTTGTATTTTCCACATTTGGGCTTACTCTGCAATAGCTGCTTTATATCCTCTCAATCATTCCTCATTGACAGACACTATTGAGTGTCCATGATGTGCCTGGCACTATTCCATTCTTTTGGGGAAACAGAATCATACAGTGGTTAAAGCTTGGATTTTTAAGAATCATACAGACCTGAGTTCAAGTTCTGGCTCCTTTACTTACTAGTTGTGTAGTTTGGGCAAGTTACTTAATCTTTCTGTGTTTCAATTTTCTTGCCTGTCAAATGATAGTATTAGAGACTATCTTATAGGTAGGTTTGTTGTGGGAATTTATAAGTTTAATGATGTATTGTTTATAATATACTTAACACAATGTGTGGCTCACGTAAGAGCTCAATAGATATGTGTTATTACTGTTGTAGTGATCCCTAAAATTGCTATCAATTTGCTGCTGAAATACTTTCTAGCACTTAGTTTCTGGTTATCTTACTTTACCATTTGATGTTCGTTGCCTTTTTCTTGGCATTAATCCAACCGTTTAATGAAACGTCAGATGTAACATCTGTGGTAAAGCTAAGATACACAACAGTTTATTAAGTTAGAACATTATTTTATGGGTCTTTAATCTGCTGCCATTCTTGGCAGCACCTTTTGCTAAGTGTTCAAGAATTTGTTGAACTTTTTGATATAATTTTACTTCTTTGTGATTAATGCCTTGTAAAACAAGGTATAGTTTTGAGTAGCAAAACTCAGAGCAGCTTTTGGTTTTATTTTTTTGTTATAAACATTAGGCTATGGGTACATGAACATATTCTGAGTTTACAAGTGAGAATTATGTCTTCTCTTTGTATCACCAATGCCTCACAGGTACCTGGCATATAACAGGTGCTAAGAGAATGTTGAAGGAAGGAGAGAAGGAAGGCAGGTACATTACATCAGTTATCTTCAGGCTTATCATTAGTCCACAGTACGTCTTTGTTTTTACTTCTTTTCCCATTACTTCATCTTCTAATCTG